TCGTCAGTCATATATCGAAAGATACATGATTGCCTAAGCGTGTATCACGCATGGTACATAACTGACTGCGTGTCCAGTGGCTAAATGAACACTAATTCTATTATCACGCAGATTTTGGCGCTAGAAAAAAAAGAGAAATGTTTTCTATTTTTTAGCTGTGATGACATATCATCACTTAGATATCACTACATACTCTTCAGGCTTCATTAATATTAGCTGAGGTTCTGAACTGAAGTATTGGCTAGGGTTCTGGACTGATGTATTGGCTGGGGTTCTGGACTGAAGTATTGGCTGAGGTTCTGGACTGAAGTATTGGCTGGGGTTCTGGACTGAAGTATTGGCTATTTTCTGGACTGAAGTATTGGCCGAGGTTATGGACTGAAGAATTAATCAAGGGGTTCTGGATTGAAGTATCATTGGGGTACTGGACTTTTATTGGCTGAGGCTTTGGACTGAAGTATTGGCTGGGGTTCTGGACTGAAGTATTGGCCGAGGTTATGGACTGAAGAATTGGCTGGGGTTCTGGACTGAAGTATTGGCTGGGGTTCTGGACTGAAGTATTGGCTGAGGCTCTGGACTGAAGTATTGGCTGGGGTTCTGGACTGAAGTATTGGCCGAGGTAGAAACTGAAGTATTGGCTGGGTTCTGGAAAATATATTGGCCGTAAAAGGTTCTGGAATAAGGAAGTATTGCATTGGGGTTCTGGACTGAAGTATTGGCTGAGGCTCTGGACTGAAGTATTAAACTTAAAGGGTTCTGGACTGAAGTTTTGGCTTGAGGTTCTGGATGAAAAATTGGCTGGGGTTCTGGACTGAAGTATTGGCTAGAGGTTCTGGACTGTTATTGGATAATTGGGCAAATGGACTGATGTATTGGCTGGGGTTCAAGGACTGAAGTATTAATTTTGAGGTTCTGGACTGAAGTATTGGCTGGGGTTCTGGACTGAATTAAAAATGGGGTTCTGGATTGAAGTATTGGCCGAGGTTCTTGACTGAAGTATTGGCCGGGGTTCTGGACTGAAGTATTGGCTGGGGTTCTGGACTGATGTATTGGCTGGGGTTCTGGACTGAAGTATTGGCTGAGGCTCTGGACTGAAGTATTGGCTGAGGTTCTGGACTGGAACTTGACAAAGTTCTGGACTGAAGTATTGGCTGGGGTTCTGGATTGAAGTATTAAATGGGGTTCTGGACTGAAGTATTGGCCGAGGTTCTGGACTGAAGTATTGGCTGGGGTTCTGGACTGAAGTATTGGCCGAGGTTCTGGACTGAAGTATTGGCTGGGGTTCTGGACTGAAGTATTGGCTGGGGTTCTGGACTGAAGTATTGGCCGAGGTTCTGGACTGAAGTATTGGCCGGGGTTCTGGACTGAAGTATTGGTTGGGGTTCTGGACTGATGTATTGGCTGGGGTTCTGGATTGACGTATTGGATGGGGTTCTGGACTGATGTATTGGCTGGGGTTCTGGACTGAAGTATTGGCCGAGGTTCTGGACTGAAGTATTGGCTGGGGTTCTGGACTGAAGTATTGGCTGAGGTTCTGAACTGAAGTATTGGCCGAGGTTCTGGACTGAAGTATTGGCCGAGGTTCTGGACTGAAGTATTGGCTGGGGTTCTGGACTGAAGTATTGGCTGGGGTTCTGGATTGAAGTATTGGCTGAGGTTCTGGACTGAAGCATTGTCTTTATTTCATAATTTGTATTCATATTTGTATTTCCCTTGCCGTAAGGTTGCCTCTCTGTGCCTTTTCTATAAACACTTTCATGGTAATTGTCTCGATGGGCTCTTCGCTATGCTACCAATACTTTTTTGAATTTAAGCACAGTACTAAACTGGCGTCGAGATCTCATCTATTTACTGTCGAGCTGCCAAGATGTAACACTAAATTCTATGCTAACAGTTTCTTTTCTCGTACTTCTCACTTGCGGAACTCCCTTCCGGCTCCATGCTTTTCAGCCAACTTTCATCTTCAAAAATTTAAATGCAGTGTCAATCGCTATCTACTGCTCTCCTGGTTGCTCGTTTCTCATGCTGCACATTATTAATGTTTCTGTTCCTAATTCTTTCACACCCTGTAACCATTTTGTTTCTTAGTGGCTTTACTGCCTTGCTACTGATTAAAAAAATATGTATATTATATTTATCCGTATCCGGAGAAGGAAACATCAAGTAATCGACTTAATGAATTTGTGAAGGATAGTTTAGGGATAAAAGCGATCGGACATTGTAGAGGACCATGATCGCTACACCCTGAATGGAAATGGCATGTAAAAGAAGATGAAGAAGAAGATCGTCATTTTTGTTGTGTTTATAACTAATTTTCTTCCTGTGTACCCTTCAGACTTTACTAATATGGTCTAGGGTTCTGTTTTTATTTCATGATTTTTATTTATATGCCGAACTATATTGTTTCGATTACGACAATTCAGCCAATGACTTCTTTGATTTTCTTAATAGTGTTGACCTATTATTTACTAGCAGTAAAGCCCGGCGTTGCCCGCAAGTATCGACCATCATAAAGACTGAAAAATAAAATTGACAAAGATTATTGTTTAAGGTTGACGGGCACGCATGTCTTAATTTGTTTTTTTTTTTTTTTTTTTAAGAAATGGTCAAACCCAAACTCAAACAAAAACATTCAATCCTTATAAGTCTCTACCGATTGAATAGAATTTTATTATAAACAATTGTCTTGTAAATGGAATTTTTAAAGCATTCTGAATATTAAAGATAAAGAAAAAAGTGTGCAAGAGAATAAGAAACACTACCTGCCAAAAAAAAAAAAAAAGTGAAGTTTTGTTTTATCGGCTGAAAAATGTAGGAAATCCGATCCCATATATAAAGGAACCCACACACACAAACAACCCGATGTGAGTTGTCCCCCTTTCATTCTCACGATGTCTCTTAATCGTGTTTTCAAATTGATTTTGTGCAAAAACAATTGTATTTTTCCCATTTTTGGCGCTGTTAGAACCACCACAAGGTAATTTTATGTAGTCCTGTGAAGTTTTGTTGAAATCGGTTGAAAAATTTAGGAAATTGATCCAATATATAAACGTTACAGACACACACACACACACACACACACACACATAAGTACACATACATTTTCACTTCACACACACACACACACAATCTGCGTTTTATAATAAGTAAGATTTATTTTTTGTTTTACTTTTAACTAAGTTATTGTTTTAGAAATCTAGAGATCAAAACAATAATGATGTTGATACTTGTCTCAATAATTTTTAGAATAATTATAATATTTTATCTAAGATTTACAGTAAATAAACCCGAAATCACGCTGGCGAAAATTCAGTGAACGAAACAAAGAAAATGAAGATATTAGTCTGAATAATTAATTGAACAAGAACTTTTAATTTTAAACTTTAGACATTTCGTTATTCTGTAACGAACAAATGGATCCAAGATAACATTTGAAAATGATTTTTAAAAAGCACCATTTTTGTCTAATTACAGTAGAATCCCTCATATTCGGAATACCTTATATACGGAATCCCGCATATTAGGAATACCTCATATCCGGAATCCCGCATATCTGGACATGATTTTGAACTATTTGGATGATATGTAACTGATTTGAAATTTCTGTTTTTTAGGAAATTTAGTTTGGATAATTGCTTATGCTTATTTCACCCTAATGGCTTGCAAAGGATGATGGAAATAAGAGGAAAGGATGACAACGAGACACATCAGCAACAAGATAGCGACGAGATACATGATTGTGATGAAACGTGGACTGAAATAGAAAATGCTGTTGAAAAGGTTGTCAGTTTTATGGAAAGAAAGCCAGCATTCAGCTATGACGATTGCAATAACGCACACAGAGTTAAAAAGTGTCTTTAGTTTAAAAAAATTCAAGAACAAAAGCAAAACGAAATGCAGAAAAAGTTGCGAATGACATTAGAAGAGAAAGAATCATCATGCAACAGCGATTAAAAGATCCTCTTTACATTATTTGTTTTACATACGTGGCAGACTTACTTTAATGAATTTTCATTAACATTACATAATTTATTTCTTTTTCCTTAAAACCAATTGCCTTATATTTCACTCACCATTAGCTTATTTTGTTTACTATAAAACATTGAAAATAAATGTTAAGCCTAATTTCAGTTCTTTTATTTTAATTCTAAATATAACCCGTCATATCCGGACTATGTAACCAATTCCTCATATCCGGAATCCCTCATATCCGGACTATGTAACCAATTCATCATATCCGGAATCCCTCATATCCAGACTATGTAACTAATTCCTCATATCCGGAATCCCTAATACCCTGACTATGTAATCAATTCCTCATATCCGGAATCCCTAATACCCTGACTCTGTAACCAATTCCTCATATCCGGAAGGCCTTCTTAGTCTGGTTGTGAATAAAAATTAAAAACTGTATTTTCAATGTTAGTTTTGTTTAGTCTTTATTCATTATTTACATTTTGTTTAAATTATTTTAAACTTTACAGGATAAATGCCATCGATTTTTCCTTCAACAATGGTTGCCTTTTTTTTGATACCAGTCCTTTTTCATCTGGTTTTGAAGACATAAATGGAATCGACTGAAATATCACCTTCTTCAACAACTCCTGATATTACACCCATATCAGAGTCCCTCAATGTATCAAAGAGTATAAATGTCAACTCAGGAAAACATTTTTAGTTCTGAAGTTTCGTTCATGTCGTGGTGATCGAAACAGTTATGTTCGCATCATCTACGTCTTTCTTAGTATCCACTGAATCCACTGTTATGAATTCATCTTTTTATCCAGTCAACATTGCAGGGACATCTGCACTAAACACTGGCCTAATAAATCACACATCTTCATTCTCCGATTTCTTAAGCGGGACAAGTGTCATGACACTTTTCTATGTTTTTTTTTTTTCATCAGCTATTCTATCCAGATTCAGTAGAAATTTTACCAACTAAGGTAATAACAACAGATTTTGCTACGGCAGTTGATGCAAGTACAACAGCAACCGATATGTATCAGCCAGAGAATATCACGACAGAATTCCAAACGACAGTTAATGCAGATACGACAACAAACAATATGTATCAGCCCGAGAATATCACGACAGAGTTCGACACGACTGTTAATGCAGATACAACAGAAAATATGTATCAGCCTGAGAATATTACGACAGAGTTCGCCATGACAGTTGATACAGATACGACAGCAAACGATATGTATCAGACTGAAAATATTACGGCAGAGTTCGCCACGACAGTTGCAAATACGACAGCAAACAATGTTACTCAATCCGAAACTATTACAACAAACGAAAACCTTACTTCAAAGTCTTCAATGAGTAAGTCCAGTAAAATTGCTGCTGGTATTTGCATACCACTGGCGATTCTCGCAATACTTGGAATCACCTATGTTTTTTATCGAAGGTATGTCAATTTGTTACTTCTAGTATCCATTTTATATGTATATTTATTAAAACTGATTTTAGACTGACAAAATGAATAGGTACGGTTGGGGGTAAAGGAAAGTAAATGGATTTTTAAAAAAGCTGAAGTTTTGGAGAATAAAGGTAAAATATTAAATTCTCCGTAAATTTTTTCAGTAGTTCCTTCAGGAAGTAGTTGATCATGGATTTCTACAACTTCCTGTCCTTTGTAGCTCTTAATTAATTTTGTATTTTCGTTATCACTCTTAAACCCTGTTCTGCCATCCATTTTACTTAAGCTCGTTTCTCTTCTTCAATATATACAATCATTGTCCCCCCCTCAAAACGTTGCAAAACTCAATCATGGTTTCACAATTTCCTGAATCCTTTGTTTAATCATTAATATTATTTTGTCTTTTGTTATCTCTCCTAAACCCTGTTCCACCATCCACTTCATCAAATGGAAAGCTCATTTTTCCTCTATATTTGCCATGTCTTTTCTGGATGTAGGCGATCATGACTCTCCACAATTTCCTGTCTTTTTGTGATTTAATAAATTTTGTCTTTTTGTTATCTCTCCTAAACCCTCATTCCACCATCCACGAATTTTACTCAAGCTTTTTTTTTTGTTATTTATGCCATTTCTCTTCTGGTAAATTAGAAAAATCATGACTCTCCACAATTTCCTGTCTTTTGTAACTCTTAATAAATTTTGTCTTTTTGTTATCTCTCCTAAACCCTGTTCCACCATCCACTTACTCAACCTTTTTAAACCCTCTATGTGCCATGTCTTTTTCTGGATGTATGCGATCATGACTCTCCACAATTTCCTGTCCTTTGTAAATATTAATAAATTTTGTCTTTTTGTTATCTCTCCTAAACCCTGTTCCACCATCCACATTTAGACTCAAGCTCATTTTTCCTCTATGTGCCATGTCTTTTTCTGGATGTATGGGATTTGTTGACTCTCCACAATTTCCTGTCTTTGTAACTCTTAATAAATTTTGTCTTTTTGTTATCTCTCCTAAACCCTGTTCCACCATAACTTACTCAAGCTCATTTTTCCACTTTGTGCCATGTCTCTTCTGGATGTATGCGATCATGACTCTCCACAATTTCCTGTTTTTTTTAACTCTTAATAAATTTTTCTTTTTGTTATCTCTCCTAAACCCTGTTCCACCATCCATTTTATTTTCAAGCTCTTTTTTTTCCTTTATGTGCCATGTTTTCTTTTCTGGATGTAATGATCATTATGCAATAATCCACAATTTCCTGTCCTTTTTAACTCTTAATAAATTTTGTCTTTTGTTATCTCTCCTAAAACCCTGTTCCACCATTTACAATCAACTCATTTTTCCTCTAAAATGCCATGTCTTTTCTGGATGTACATTAAATCATGACTCTCCACAATTTCCTGTCTTTTGTAACTCTTAATAAATTTTGTCTTTTTGTTATCTCTCCTAAACCCTGTTCAACACCATCCACTTACTCAAGCTCATTTTTCCACTTTGTGCCATGTCTCTTCTGGATGTACAGGCGATCATGACTCTCCACAATTTCCTGTCTTTTGTAACTCTTAATAAATTTTGTCTTTTGTTATCTCTCCTAAACCCTGTTCCACCATCCATTTACTCAAGATCATTTTTTCTTTTATATGTGCCATGTCTTTTCTGGATGTATGCGATCATGACTCTCCACAATTTCCTGTCCTTTGTAACTCTTAATAAATTTTGTCTTTTGTTATCTCTCCTAAACCCTGTTCCACCATCCATTTACTCAGAAAAGTTCATTTTTCCACTTCTTCTTGCCATGTCTCTTCAGGATGTTGCGATCATGACTCTCCACAATTTCCTGTCCTTTGTAACTCTTAATAAATTTTGTTTTTTGTTATCTCTCCTAAACCCTGTTCCACCATCCATTTACTCAACCTCATTTTTTTCTTCTATGTGCCATGTCTTTTCTGGATGTAAACGATCATGGCTCTCCACAATTTCCTGTCCTTTGTAACTCTTAATAAATTTTGTCTTTTTGTTATCTCTCCTAAACCCTGTTCCACCATCCATTTACTCAAGCTCATTTTTTCTTCTATGTGCCATGTCTTTTCTGGATGTATGCGATCATGACTCTCCACAATTTCCTGTCCAGAAAAAAAACTCTTAATAAATTTTGTCTTTTTGTTATCTCTCCTAAACCCTGTTCCACCATCCATTTACTCAAAAGCTCATTTTTCCACTTTGTGCCATGTCTCTTCTGGATGTATGCGATCATGACTCTCCACAATTTCCTGTCCTTTGTAACTCTTAATAAATTTTGTCTTTTGTTATCTCTCCTAAACCCTGTTCCACCATCCATTTACTCAAGCTCATTTTTTTTCTTCTATGTGCCATGTCTTTTTTTCTGGATGTAGGCGATCATGGCTCTCCACAATTTCCTGTCTTTTGTAACTCTTAATAAATTTTGTCTTTTTGTTATCTCTCCTAAACCCTGTTCCACCATCCATTTACTCAAGCTCATTTTTCCTCTATGTGCCATGTCTTTTCTGGATGTTGGCGATCATGACTCTCCACAATTTCCTGTCTTTGTAACTCTTAATAAATTTTGTCTTTTGTTATCTCTCCTAAACCCTGTTCCACCATCCATTTACTCAAGCTCATTTTTCCATTTTTTTGTGCCATGTCTCTTCTGGATGTATGCGATCATGATCTCTCCACAATTTCCTGTCTTTTGTAACTCTTAATAAATTTTGTCTTTTTGTTATCTCTCCTAAACCCTGTTCCACCATCCACTTACTCAAGATCATTTTTCCTCTATGTGCCATGTCTTTTCTGGATGTATGCGATCATGACTCTCCACAATTTCCTGTCCTTTGTAACTCTTAATAAATTTTGTCTTTTTGTTATCTCTCCTAAACCCTGTTCCACCATCCACTTACTCAACCTCATTTTTCCTCTATGTGCCATGTCTTTTCTGGATGTATGCGATCATGACTCTCCACAATTTCCTGTCCTTTGTAACTCTTAATAAATTTTGTCTTTTTGTTATCTCTCCTAAACCCTGTTCCACCATCCACTTACTCAAGCTCATTTTTCCACTTTGTGCCATGTCTCTTCTGGATGTATGCGATCATGACTCTCCACAATTTCCTGTCCTTTGTAACTCTTAATAAATTTTGTCTTTTTGTTATCTCTCCTAAACCCTGTTCCACCATCCACTTACTCAACCTCATTTTTCTTCTATGTACCTATGTCTTTTCTGGATGTATGCGATCATGACTCTCCACAATTTCCTGTCCTTTGTAACTCTTAATAAATTTTGTCTTTTGTTATCTCTCCTAAACCCTGTTCCACCATCCATTTACTCAAGCTCATTTTTTTTCCTCTATGTGCCATGTCTTTTCTGGATGTATGCGATCATGACTCTCCACAATTTCCTGTCCTTTGTAACTCTTAATAAATTTTGTGTTTTTTGTTATCTCTCCTAAACCCTGTTCCACCATCCACTTACTCAAGCTCATTTTTCCACTTTGTGCCATGTCTCTTCTGGATGTATGCGATCATGACTCTCCACAATTTCCTGTCCTTTGTAACTCTTAATAAATTTTGTCTTTTTGTTATCTCTCCTAAACCCTGTTCCACCATCCACTTACTCAAGCTCATTTTTCCTCTATGTGCCATGTCTTTTCTGGATGTAGGCGATCATGACTCTCCACAATTTCCTGTCCTTTGTAACTCTTAATAAATTTTGTCTTTTTGTTATCTCTCCTAAACCCTGTTCCACCATCCACTTACTCAACCTCATTTTTCCTCTATGTGCCATGTCTTTTCTGGATGTAGGCGATCATGACTCTCCACAATTTCCTGTCTTTTGTAACTCTTAATAAATTTTGTCTTTTTGTTATCTCTCCTAAACCCTGTTCCACCATCCACTTACTCAAGATCATTTTTCCACTTTGTGCCATGTCTTTTCTGGATGTAGGCGATCATGACTCTCCACAATTTCCTGTCCTTTGTAACTCTTAATAAATTTTGTCTTTTTGTTATCTCTCCTAAACCCTGTTCCACCATCCACTTACTCAAGCTCATTTTTCCACTTTGTGCCATGTCTCTTCTGGATGTATGCGATCATGACTCTCCACAATTTCCTGTCTTTTGTAACTCTTAATAAATTTTGTCTTTTTGTTATCTCTCCTAAACCCTGTTCCACCATCCACTTACTCAAGATCATTTTTCCTCTATGTGCCATGTCTTTTCTGGATGTAGGCGATCATGACTCTCCACAATTTCCTGTCCTTTGTAACTCTTAATAAATTTTTGTCTTTTGTTATCTCTCCTAAAACCCTGTTCCACCATCCACTTACTCAAGCTCATTTTTCCTCTATGTGCCATGTCTTTTCTGGATGTAGGCGATCATGACTCTCCACAATTTCCTGTCCTTTGTAACTCTTAATAAATTTTGTCTTTTTGTTATCTCTCCTAAACCCTGTTCCACCATCTACTTACTCAAGATCATTTTTCCTCTATGTGCCATGTCTTTTCTGGATGTAGGCGATCATGACTCTCCACAATTTCCTGTCCTTTGTAACTCTTAATAAATTTTGTCTTTTTGTTATCTCTCCTAAACCCTGTTCCACCATCCACTTACTCAAGCTCATTTTTCCTCTATGTGCCATGTCTTTTCTGGATGTAGGCGATCATGACTCTCCACAATTTCCTGTCCTTTGTAACTCTTAATAAATTTTGTCTTTTTGTTATCTCTCCTAATCCCTGTTCCACCATCCACTTACTCAAGCTCATTTTTCCTCTATGTGCCATGTCTTTTCTGGATGTAGGCGATCATGACTCTCCACAATTTCCTGTCCTTTGTAACTCTTAATAAATTTTGTCTTTTTGTTATCTCTCCTAAACCCTGTTCCACCATCCACTTACTCAAGCTTCTTCTTCTTCTTCTTCTTCTTCTTCTTCTTCTTCTTCTTCTTCTTCTTCTTCTTCTTCTTCTATGTGCCATGTCCCATTGACTATCATGCCTCTCTACAACTTCCTGTCCTTTGTAACTCTTGATAAATTTTGTCTTTTTCTTATATCTTCTAAAGCCTGTTCTACCTTCCATTTACACAAGCTCGTTTTTCTTTTTTATTCTTTTAATATTTAATATAGCATTTATCAGAATTTTGATATTTAATGTTATATTCATCTGGTTTTTAATACTTAATGTAGCATTTATTAGATTTTTAGTATTTAATGTAGCAGTTACCTGATTTTTAATGCAGAATTTATCGGTTTTTTAATATTTAATGTAGCATTTATCTGAATTTATCATTTACTGAAATCTACCACACAGTAAGCTGACTAAGTAGCAGGTGTTTTTAATGCTTAATGTAATGTTGGAGTCCAGGTAACCAGGTATTTGTTGCTATCTGAGTGTCGAGATTCCAAACATTTAACAACATCAACAATAACAACAATATATCTTTTAAATGAAACATAAAAAAGGTTATTTTCTTAAAGAATAGTAAAAGCAGAACGTCAGTTAAAATAACATTTATATATTTTTTCAGATATATACAATAGCAATAAAATGATCAATTTTCCTTGTAGTGAAGTTTATTTTACAAAGTAATTAATTGTTCTTAGTGCAGTATGAAATGTGTAGACAGATTTACTTTATGATGGTCAGCCTAATGGGGTTTTGACTTTGTAGACGAATGCATAGTAGGTGGTTGCTGGTTAATCCCTTCTATTGTGTATGTGTACAAGGTTTTAGTCAGCGTTTCCTGGCTTTCTCTCTTCTATTGTGTGTGTCTGTGGGTACATGTGTATGTATATGTATACACGTGTAGATCAAAATGGCCTCACAAATTGTTTTGGAGCCTTGAGAAGCATTATGCTTCTATTTTTATATTCGTAAGAGGATCTAAAATAGTGGTGAAAATTTTTTGAATACAAGGTTTTCATTGGTTAGAAAATAATTTCACACTGGCTCGCAAAAATATTTCCTTCAAATTTGCAGGAGTGGTGAAAGGAGTTATAATTATTATTTTTTAAATGGTACAAAAATAACACATGGTAGGCCTATAATGAAGTCTGCAAGTATTTTGGCAGCATTTGCCCTTGTAATGTTTGTTTATCCAACAAACTTTCTGATGGGATTTTATTGGTTGAACAATATATATATTTATATTACTTCAATTGAGTTCTACTACTTTTCTTTCAGAAAATAAACTTTTTTAAGTCTCATTTAAAAATGTGTTGTTGCCGTTGTTGTTATATATTTGGAATCCTGACACTCAGATAGCAACAAGAAACAGGGTAGACATTTCCCCAACAGTAGCATTTTTCTGATTTCTAATGTTTAATGGAGTATTTATCAGAGTTTTGATAGTTAATGTAGCATTATTCTGATTTTTAATGCTTAATGTAGCATTTATCGAATTTTAAATATTTAATGTAGCATTTATCTAATTTTTAATGCTTAATGTAGCAATTATCTGATTTTTAATACTTAATGTGGCATTTATCGGATTTTTAATATTAATGCAGCATTCATCTGATTTTTAATGCTTAATGTGGCACTTTTTAATATTTAATGTAGTATTTATATGATTTTACTACTAAATGTATGATTTATCAGATTGTAATATTTATTGCAGGATTAAAGTGAGTTTCAATGTTTAATATAGAATTTATCAGAATTTTAAAATTTAATGTAGGATTCATCTGATTTTTAATGCTTAATGTAGCATTTAAAAGAATTTTAATATTTAATGTAGCATTTATCGGAGTTTTAATATTCAATGTAGCATTCTTCTGATTTTTAATGCTTAATGCAGCATTTATCGAATTTTAAATATTTAATGTAGCATTTATCTAATTTTTAATGCTTAATGTAGCATTCTTGTTATTTTAATGGTCATGTTAATATTATAGTGGGTCAGCCAATTCGTATTGGTTATAAATAGAAATAAAAACTGACCCTCAACAATTTTTACAATATCAAATGTAACAAAGACAGCAACGAGAAATAATCAAGTAGAAGAAATCGTGAATTTGTTCAACAATAAATATTTTTTATAAACACAACAAATACATAATATATAGTGCAAAAGTTGATAAACACAATAGAGTTCTTTGGTGTGTGTGTTACTGAAAGAATTTGAGTTACTGTACTGTATGTGTGAAAATGAGAAGGTGTAGTTAGCTATATGTTTTTAGAGGAAAATTAAACAGATGTTTTTGTTTTTGTATTAAATAGAAAAAAGTATTGTTCTTGACTCACTGATTGTTATAGAGTTATCGCTCATTAACCAGAGATTCTTCTTGTGGAATAGAATATTTTGTGGGAGTGAGTGTTAAGCCTGGAAATGGTTGACAAGGTTTGTTGTTGTATTGAAGATAAATTTCGTCTTCTTTGCTGTGTTGATTTCCAATGAAGTCAAGTGAATTGGTTCAATATTTTAAGTGCCCACTGACCAAGTCGCGTCGAAGTTTCGTTTTTATTAGTTCTCTTGATCACGTGGTGAGGCTCGTGAACATGTTTACATTTTATGGCGTCAACTAGAGGTCAAAATTTGGGTCGGTACCTTCGGACGTAGTTGACGACACTTAATTAATATTTTACAACCAATCAAAATACATCAGTTGTTATATTTGGTTGGGAGCCTCTATGTGTTTAACTTGCACACAATTTAAGGTTTAAAAAATGTAGGAATCTGATTCTACAATATCAACTTCATCTAAATGTTTAATTCTCCATGTAGCATCACTCAATTGTTTGATTACTTGCACTCATTTTCTCCATTTTTATTGCAAAAGGCGCTACAAAGATCGCAGTATAAAGTTTACGGAGAAAGGGTCAACATGGTCATATTCAAATGCCTCTTTTACAGATGACGCTGTAAGTATCCTTGATTTTCTTTCTATTTGATATTAGTGCCTTATCCTTATCTTGAAACAAGGTCAACTGAAAAATGTATTTGATGTCTGATGATTGTGGATTCAGCCAACAGACAGTACCTCCCAAGTAAACAAAAGAGCATTTTTTTTATTTTTAAAAATTGTATAAGATGCAATCTTGAGTCTTGTGCTAACTCTCAAAACTGATCTGGACTTTTTTGATCATTTCTCCAATTCTTGGCTATTTATTTCCTTTTTTCCTATTTTAGTGAATCAATATACAGTGTAACCCGGATATAAGAGAGTTGTCGGGACCGGAGAAGAAGTCTCTTATATCCAGGTTTCTCTTATATCCGGGTTTGGTCTGTTTTGTTTAGGTAAGTATGGGCTCTAATTTGGGACCAGAGAAAATCTTTCTTATATCCGGGTTTCTCTTATATCCGGGTCACACTGTAATCTCGTTGTCTAGTTTCTGTTGATCTGAAATTCTACCTTCACTCTACGTGTCGAAAGAGAAATTCAGGAGTATATGGTTTCTACTGTGTTTTTAATATTCGTTTTTGTTGTGATGCCGATGAGAAATTTAAATATTATGAATATTTATAATCAAAGGGAGGTAACCCAGACTTATCTTCATCTTTAAATCCGTACACGATTCCTTGTTTCCTTTCCATTGTGACTTTTGTTACGCTACTCCTTTTTAATTTCGAATAAACAATGCGGTAATTAAATTATCACATAAATGGAAATTAAACATGAATTTAATTAAATTATAAATTAATAAACAATAATATAATAATTATTATTATTTTAAATAATCCTATTTTGCCAGTAAAACTTGCATTTATTTTTTACTATTGACAATACTTCTGTTCATGATTCAATGTAGATTTATGGCACATTGACTACTATATAATGGTCATGTAATAGCAGATAAGGATTAAGTAGATTCTCAGTCTTTAATCACATCTCTAAAATTCTAATATGGAATACTAATTATTATTGTCAATGATAAAATATAAAATTAAAATTATTATATTATCAATTACAAAATAATTATCAATAATAAAATATTTTGTCAGTAAAGCTTGTATTCATTTTTCATCACTGATAACACTTCTCTTTTTGATTTTCAATATACAGTGTAACCCGGATATAAGAGACCCGGATATAAGAGAAACCCGGATATAAGAGAGATTTTCTCTGATCCCAAATTAGAGCCTGTGTTAATGTATATAAAATAGACCAAACCCGGATATAAGAGAAACCCGGATATAAGAGACTTCGTCTCCGGTCCCGACAACTCTCTTACATCCGGGTTACGCTGTATTTCTATTGTAAAATCATTGAATATATAATGACATTCTGGAACTATCAATAAAACCTGAATTAATGTTTGACCATTGACAACAGATCTCTTCCTGGTTTTCAATACTTTTCTCCCTGACTTTTAATATATTTCTATTGCAAAATCGTTCATTATACAATGACATTATAACACAATCAATAAAACCTGAATTAAGGTTTGACCACCGACAACACTTCCATTACTGGTTTTCAATATATTTCTATTGTAAAACCATTAACTATGCAATTATAGTGCTATTCTGTCAGTAATACCCACCTTAATTCCTGACCACTGACAATCCCTTTCTTGTTGATTTTCAATGCATTTCTATAGTAAAAAATAGAATATATTTAGATTATACATAAAATAGCCCTCTTCAATCTCATGCCTTAATTTCTAACCAATGGCAATCCCTTTCTTGATCCTAAATTTTTATCTATTTTCAATGTCAACAAATTTACAATATACATATTACTTTTATTTAAAGTTATTTACACTGAATAATCAGTATTTGTTCAATTAATAGTAAGTTTGATTGGTTCAATAAGGTCAAATTGGCAGCTGATTCCCAAAATGTCATATATTCTGTGGTTGACTGGAACAAGGAATGGCTTGTTAATTTTAATGCTTCCAAACCGAAACTACTCTCTATTAATAATCTGAGAGAATTCTTTCTATCTTCCATCAGCATGGCTGATGCTAACCTCCAGGGGAGTGCATTCTTGGATTAACGTTTTCCACTGACATGAAATGGAAAAAATTATATTGAATCAATTGCTATGTCTGCTGCTAGGAAAGTTGGTTCTAGTAAATATCGTTAATACTGTTTATTATAAACAGAGCATTTACTTAAATATTTGTAAATAATGCATAACATTAAAATGTATATTTTTCTAACAATTTAACCCCAAATAAGGCAATAATGCCACTAGGACACAGGGTGGTTCATGGAGTGTGAAAAAGAATGAGAAGACTTTAGTGAGGAGAAAGGACATTAATGGAATCAGATTCAGGAAGACAAATGAAAACAATGTTGTGTTGCTGACTTGCGAATGTGTATTAGGTATCAGAAGGTTATTTTATCGATCGGGTCAATGATGTTGGTGTTCTTAAACATTCGTCCACAACAAATTTAGAAACATGAGTATTGAAGACAGATCATCCAAGATAAATCAAAGCGAAAACAACGTAGTTAAAGATATAATAATAACATGGATTTATATTTTCTATAGAATAAAATATACACAAATGAATCAAAGGCTGTTGAATAAGTGTGAATGGTTGAATAGAATTATGTAGAATATTTATGTTAAGTTTCAATGTGTATGGAGCTGTTATTAAGATTTGTGTGTGAAATTAAACTAAGTGAATGTTCATGTAGTAAAATGTCTTTTGTGGCAGTTCAGTTGATAGTGCGCATGCGTGTGTTTGTTTGAATTATTGTCCAAAACTGGTATAAGTTGTGTACCTTTAGTTGTTTTGATGTTTGATTGAATGTTTACGAATGTACTTGTTTAATAGTGAGTTATTATCACTTTTTAGTATTGTAAGAAATTGTTCCTGGTAGAGCGAAATGCTGCATGTGTTGAGTCAGAGAAAGATTGCGCGGCAAAAATGTAGCTGGCTACGATTTTGACTGGCGTGGATTAGTTTGGTATTTCTCCAGGGTGAAATTCTGACTGCCTTGAATCGATTTGGACGCTTCTATCTATTTAGTTCTGGATACTGGCATCTGCTCAAAACGGCTAGGCGCGAAAAGACATTTTCGCGTGAATTTTCTACAGTTTTAGAGGTTTGAGCCAAATGAAAAGTCTAGTTCACTGGAAGTAGGGTGTTGATTGGTTAATAGGTAATTTTGTGGTAGAGTGTATTATTCCGGAGGGGTGAAAAAGGTATGTATGGACTATTCCATCAGTTGCATTTAAGTCTTTGAAGATTGTATGTGACAGGAAGGAAGAGACTGGAAGAGAGCTCCTCAGATGAGAAATGCGAGAAAGGAAGAGAATTTATCTAGGTCAACAGTAAAACAGTGAGACTAAATTGCCAATTTAGTAACATGCTTAAATTCATGCAGTCAAGGCATTAATGATAAAAGATAATCAGAATTGATACCATGAAAATATAAATATAATATAAATGATATTTAATAGTATAATAATAATAATATATTATAATATAAATATTTATAAAAAAGACAAAGGGAAGTCACATCACAATGGTGAGAAATTGACTGAGTTCGAGATGCCTGCTCAAGATCAATTACATTAAAGTCTCTTCTTTGAATTGTATCAAGAATCATGAGATATATGATAGGAGCACCAGACCAGATATGTTGACAGTATTCAATGCACAGACGATTGGTAAATTTATAAATGTGCAAGGTGGATTCTGAAAAGAAAAAATCTGACATGACATAAACCAATTCTTAGCAGTAGACCTACTCATGCTAGCGTAAAGTTATTTTTGAATCATTTCACCCCAAACAAGGCGTTAAAGCCACTAAAACGCAAGAGGTCACTGGGTGTGAAAGAACAAGATAAAAAGCAAAACATTAATAAGGAGCGAAAAGCATAAATGAACAGGAATTAAGAAGACAGGAGATAACGATTGATATTGCATTCAAATGTTTAAAGATCAAATGCAATAAAGCCACTAGGATGCAAATGGGTTACTGAGTGTTAGAGAATATGAGAAAAACTACTATTAAGGAGAGATGACGATAAAAGAACAAGAATTAAGAAGACAGGAGATAACAATTGATATTTCATTTAAATGTTTCAGGATCAAAGTTGATTCAGAAGCAAGAGACCGGAAAAAGTTCCCAAAGTGCGAGAAAAGTGTTAACTTACGGTTACATCTGGTAATTTCAACGGTAAAATGATGAGAGCTATCTGTCAATCTAGCTCTGTGCATAAATTTGTAAAGACAAGGTACCAAAAGATGAAAGCTCATCAGAACAATTGCCATGAAAATATTTCCAGAGAAGGCACAGTAAGTTGTGTTATAGCTATGGAAAATGACTGAAGACAAGTTACCACATGAAGACCAATAACATTGCAGATTCTTTTTTGGGCACTTTGAATTTTGCTTATGTAAATACATAGCAGAATCGCCAGACCAGGTATGATGGCAATATTCAATGCATGGGCAACTGGTAAACTTTTAAATGTGCCAGATAAATTCTGGCGAGTTAACTTATCTAATATGATACAATGAAACAACATTCTTAGCAGCAGAGTTAGCAAAGATTTACACTGAAAAAAAACAAAAAACAAGGACACAAGAATAATTTTTATATCACTTGGGGTATCATTAATTTGGTTATGTTTGTTGCTTTGATGTGTGGCTTCCGCATAAATCATGTGAAAGAAAAAAAAATTACTTAGCTTGTGCACATAATCTTCAGTGCTCCATTTGAATATATTGGTCATCTTTCAGAACATTCATTATTTTCAATCTTTTTTTTCATTTGATCTACCCCACCTTGGATTATCATTCAACAAGAAATTCCCAAAAAAGGGATCTGTAATATAAGCGATCCTGACTTGGCATCTTTACTTCAGTCACTTTTTCACCGACATGACGTGGCTTCCCTCTGTCTTTTCTACAAACATTTTCATGACAACTGTCCTGACAAGTGTTTTTCCCTGGTGCCACGACTACATGAATTTAAACATTGATTGATATCTAGGTCACACCTGTTTACTTCTGAAATAGTTAAATGCAGCCACCACCTCTACTCCAACAGTTTCTTTTCCCACACTTCCCACCTGTGGAACTCCCTTCCGTTTACTTACTTCTCTGATAAATAGAAACTTCAAAGATTTAAATGCAGCATTAATCGCCATCTTCTGTCTTCTTGAATCCTGTTCATCTTTTCTTTCATCCTCCCTATACTCAGTCTTTTCTCTCACTTTCACTCCCTTTGTACTAGTGGCATTCCTGCCTTACTTAGGGTGAAATGATTTTAAACAAATCTCCAGCATAAAATTTAGCAAGCCACTTCTGACATGTTCAGTTTTTTGCAGTAACTTCTCCATAAATCGCTTAAATCATGTAGTGTCATATATGGATTATCCTCATTTTTAATCTTATCATAATTATATTTCTGAGTAGTTTTATGAGCCATTAACTCCTTCATAATGGTCATGTTGTGTGAAAATACATTTTTAAGTATATTCTTTTATTTTTGAATACCATCATCAAGATCTTGATGGGGAATGTGGTTTAATGGCACATTGACTGTTATATAATGGTTATAAGTGCTAAACAAGTAATTTTAAATAGGTTTTCTTGATCTTTAATTTCATCATCAAGGTTCTGATTCTGAATGTGGTTTTATGACACATTGACTCATGTATATTGGTCATATCATACCAGAAAAGGATTTTAAGTGGGTTCTCATAGTCTTTAATCACATCTCCAAAGTTCTGTTTCTAAATGTGTTTTATGACACATTGACTCCTATATAATGGTCATGTAGTGCTAAACAAGGATTTTAAGTAGATTCTTATAGTCTTCTATATTCCCATTCTGTTTATGTGTTTATGGCACATTGACTCCTATATAGTGGTCAGGTTATGTTAAATGTGTTATTTTTTAAAAATTTGATTAAAATTGATTAATGATGTTCCTCTTTTTTCTTTCCACAGATTAAATCCACTGCTCAACACAGTTAATGGCTGAGGAATTGTTATTCATTTTTTGTGATGAAAATGACCAACAACCAGTTTGAAATCATGTTTATAAACTTATTCACTTGTATCTTATTAAAAACAGTTATCACGCACACACACATACAGGCAAACATGCACACACATACACTCGTGCCAGAATCACTCATATACCTATTCTATAAATTTCCTTTAAATTTTATCCGAAGTTCTGAGATAAATTGTTGCTACTCTTGTACAATGATTCTTTTGGTTCTATTTGTTCTTTGTTCTATTTTTTGTCAACATTTCGATTGATTACCGTCTGCTCTTCATCAGGTGTCCATCACATTGATTAGCCTTTCTGGAATGTTGCGTATGATACTATTCTCTTCATGTACATAACATCGCAGTCATATCTCTCTTAGACTTTGTTTACTGTTTCTCTCCATGGGAGATAATCTCCTTTGTTTCTACAATTAATTTTTTCTGTGTCACCATTTGTGGCCCACTTCTCTTTCTTTTCCTGTCAAATCAACTTTTAAGTATTTTTGGAATCTAATGAAAGAACTGAAAGTATAACAATTCATATAATAATTGGCAGCTGTGGTCAAATGTTATATTCACATCGTCAGATGAACAAATAACAACATAAATATAATATCTGGCCTCATGGACGCTTAGACATAGAATTATGGCCAACGGGGTAGAAAATGATACCAACTCACCCAACACGAAAATTGTACATGAGATCCTTTAACAATACAACAAAAATTATGCTAAACCAATTGCTGTAGAGAAAACTTTTCTGAGAAGGGCGGAAGCAAAAAGATTTCTGAGTTAGAGATTTTCTGAGGGAAGCCAAAGGGAAACATTTTCTGGGGAGGCAGAGATTTTCAGAGAGGAGATATTTTCTGAGGGGAAACAAAGAAAGATTTTTGAAGGGTGGGTGGGGGGGATATTTTCCAAGGGGAGATAACAGAAAAGATTTTTTGAGAGGAGAGATTTTCCAATAGGAGGTAACTTTAAGTTTAAGCATTCTTTCATTTTGCAATGGACATCGTCTTGGAATGAGTATTCTGAGAGCTGAGTTTGAATTCCAGTAGGGTTCGTTACATTCACTTACATGCAAATACTCTTGGGAAAGGTAGGAATCCATCCCTTCTCCCCTCCAACTATGGCTTGAATAGCCTTGGTTGCCAACCAGTCTACCACAGAAAGAAATGACAATCTACGGCGGAAAAATTTTATACCTCGTCGGTCATGAATCGAAAGAAATGAAATGTTCGTCCAAATGTGTATGTCACTTGACTGACTGAATAATTCCTTCATTTGACATCTTAAAGAGATGGCAGAGTAATCACAACTTGTGTTTATTAATTCGAATGGAAATAATTTTATTGTCCGGTTCCATATACAGTTCTGCATTGGCGATTTTAAGGTAATAAACATTACAGATATTTCGCAGGCAGCTATTGTGTAAACATCGACTTTGTCATATCTTTTTTCTTGATTTTCTAGAACTGGTACACGAGAAGGCATGACTCAAAGATAAGTACCATAAAGTCGACCTCAATATTATTAGCCCAAAACTAGAACTATACCTACCGTACAGGTCGACCCCACGAATATTTAGTAATATCTCTCTATATGCGTTATATCGCAAACAGCCTATAACACACATCGATAGGTATCGTATATCGCATCAGTAATGGATAGCGGCTCGGATTGAGGAATCGGTGAGCCGAGTTCGAATTCCAGTCGAATCCATTATATTCACTTATGTGCTAATAACCTTGGGAAAGGTATGAATCATCTTATCGCACCCCCTCTCCGGTTATGGGTAAATAGCAGGACAGACCGGGATCTATAGCTTTGGATGGCAACTGGTCTACCACAGAAAGAAATAGCAACCTACTGCGGAAAAAAATCTGCCTCGTCAGGTCATGTATAGAAAGATACATGATCGTCTAAGCGTGTATCACGCGTGGCACATAACTGATCACTTAGCGAACATTTATAATTCTTCAGGTCTACTGATAAATTCATTAAAGTCAAACTCCTATGAAATATTAATACCGTAGATTACACATCGTACCAGGTAGGTTTCTTTATAGTACTGCTACCCACCGCATATTATTGTAGTACACAGTAATTGTTATAAGCAAATGGGACAGTACTTCTAACTCGGTAAGAGTTTATATTTTATACTCACCATACAAGTGACCCCTAGTTTTAGAAATATTTTTCTAGGATTGAAAACTACTTTTACACCGCAATTTACGGCAATTGATATTCAATCACTTCATATTTGAAAAGTTGAGAGTTCCTACTCATATTTTCTACATTTGTAGTCTCACAGTAGACAGCGAATTTGTGCTTTGTACCATACTTTGAAATACTTTTTTTTCTTAAGGTGTAAGCTTTTAATGTGGTAGAGGCACCATATGTACTACCGCAGCAGTGTTTTTTTTTCCTGGGTAAGATAGCCTGACGGAACCCAGCAGTGTTCAGGCTGGTTTTAGAATTCAGAGATTTTCCATTCTAACCAAGGTTAGAGGATCCGCTTTGCCCTGCTATTTCCCTATAGTTGGGAGGAGAAAACATGGCTTCATATATTTCTCCAAGGGTATTTATTAGCACGTAAGTGAATGTAATGAACTCAAACTCCGCTTTCTCTGTCCGAACCCCTGTTCACTACTCCACCGTGCCGCCATCTTGAAATATCGAAAAAAAATTTCATAGTCTTCAATATCAGGGGAAGTTTCTATAATTCAACAAAGGAGATTCCAAGAATAATGGAATACAGAAAAGCTATAGTTTAACTGACGAAAAATAAGAATCCAGTTTAGTAGTATTCTTGTTCTATTACAACTTAGTCATGTGCCATGCGTGATACACGCGTAGGCAATCATGTATCTTTCTCTCCATGACTGACGAGGCAGATTTTTCCGCAGTAGCTTGCCATTTCTTTCTACGGTAGACCAGTTGCCATCCAACCAGGTCTGTCCTATTTACCCATGTAAATTACCCATTTACATGCTGGACATGTATAAAAAATGCCAGTTCTACCAATCATAATAAATGTCTGTTGCCTCTGGGAGGCCCTATACCTCGAGCGCTTATCAGGCCTTAACTCAACCAAGTCCTCAAGTGGAACTCACACATTTGATCCAACACTAAAGATGCTAGAAAAAGGATCAGTTCTTTGTACCACTTTAGTAAATACCTGTCTCCTGTTATTCTCTACCTTTACACCAGTCTGACCAGGTATAAAATGGACTACTGCTGCCATATGTGGGCAGGAGCTACCCAATCCTGATAGAGTTCAAAAGTCCTTGTGAGTGATGGATTATTCCCCATCCCACGGCCCCTTTCCCACAGACGAAACATTGCAAGCCTCTTGCTACTCCATTGCTATTTCCATGGAAAGTACTAAGACGAACTACAATCCTTAGTTCCACTAATCCTAACCTTCATGGCTAAGACCCACCATGCTACACACATTGTAACAAACCATTCCCTTTGTATTTCATTTGTGAGATGTAAGTTCCACTTGAGCAGCTTCTTCCCGCAAACCACTGCTCTATGGAGCTGACTCCCAAGAGGATATTTTCTTGATTACTAGAATCTTGGTCTATTCAAGTCTCTAATTAAGTTTTACCTTCTCCACATATCCACATAAACTGTGCCTCTTACTTACTAACCCTACTGAGAAAAGAACAAGCGAAATACAGTCTGCATGTACACTCCTTGAATAGAGGAGGTGAAAAACAGTGACAACTTGGTACAAAGTATGTTCAACTCCACTGTGCGCCAGGGAGAATCATAATATTTTTTTAAAAAATTAAATTTAGGGACCGTACATTTGTTTTATTTCCATTTTTTCTTTATTTTCATAACAAAATATAATTTTTTACTTTTGTTTATAATAAAAGTAAAAATGAATATAGTGATACCTTGGCTTAAGTTGTTTCAAATCATTTTCGAAGATACGTTGGTTTTTCTTAAATATTATATGGAAAAATAAAATTCACCCTAGGTCGTTTTACCCGAGTTTACGTCGACCGTTAAAAATATTAAAAAAAAATATTAGAAATGTCAAAACACTAAAATAACAATAAAAAACATAAAATCATATTTAAATAAATTTAAAAATAATAAAAAATATATATATATATACATATATATATATATATATATATATATTAGATCAAGTGTGTATATATATATATATATATATATATACAGATTATATATATATATATATATATATATATATACAGATTATATATATATATATATATATATATATATATATATATATATATATATATATATATATATACAGATTAATTGTATATATATATATATATATATATATATATATATATATATATATTATGTATATATATATATATATACAATTCTTTTATATATATATATATATATATATATATATATATATATATATATGCAGATTAAATATAACACCACATACATATGTATGTATGCATCTATCTATCTACTGTATTTGTTTGTATCATGGAAATGTACATATACTCGTACCTACGTATTGGTGTGCAAGTTAAGTTTCGCTGAATTACATTGCTCTTTGGGCAAAAGGTCTATGTTGTTAAAGTAGACAAATGCCTGATGGGAGGTGCACTGCTACATAGCCTGAAAATAAAATTGGACAAAAAGAGTAGCAAATGTGATGCAGATGAATTACATTTTTTAAAAATAGAAAAAGTTAAAGTTTGTAAAAAAAGAAAAAAGAAAAATTTAAAAATAAAGACGCTGTTTTTCGCATAGCAAAGTTAACGTTAATGGTTAAAGGGAGGTAACTTTGTATGAGGCTTATGTCTGTAAAAAAATTATAAGAAAGAAATGAAATATAAAAAAATGGTGAATATAAGGAATGTAGTTACAATATATCGGGGAAAATAAAATGAATAAATGAATAAGTGTGAGGAAATAAGAGAGAAAGAAATATAAAATATAAGGGAATTAAATAAATGGGTGTA